TTGCCCACTGTTTGATGGCGACCTTTGGACTGCCCCCCCCCCACAAAATGAACACGAATATGATTAAAGTATTTCAATTGCCTAACTTCCGGTTCGCCCACTGGGCGCAAATGTGTACCTGATCAACGACCCGTAAAGAAGGCAAGTTAGAATGTTGAGTTGGACCAAAGCATAGAATCCCAGCGCAACGCGCCCAGGAAGTCCCTGTGTGTTCGCAACCTTGGCTACATGCGGGAGCTAATCGACTGCCGTGAATTAATCGCACAGCAAGCATGTTAGTCCTGAAGAGCTCCATTTGGGGGAAAGAACCCATGATGATTTTACGTGACACCTAAGTGCAGTAGTTCCAGTCCGTTCCTAGCTTAACGAGGCCTATTCCACAGTGTGCATCAGCTATAGGAAATACAACGGTGTGAGTCGCGTAAGCACTTACCTAAGAGAGTTTTGCCGCTGAAATGCTCGCCCTTCAGAGTGGGTACCATTCTCAGATTGTCATCCACCTTTCTCAGAGACATTTCTATAAACTAACTTACATCTCCCCCTAACTTCATTACAATAATTTCTCGCTGCACAATGCGCACCAAGGATTCCTCACATATAGTGACACGACATATGTAACAATTGGAACACCCAATAAATTCAAAATTTCCTCTCTTCCAATGCGCACTCTCGACTTTTTCAAGTAAAGCTGGACACATGGGGGGGGGGCTAATTGAACAAACATCGCGAACACGTAGCCGTATGTTCGTCGCGTGCGTCAGGTATGTTCCGTCAACCGTCAAAGTCGGTCACATCTAGCTAGCTGATTGGGTATCGTGGACCACTAGCCGCAGGTTAGTCGTGTACACCAGTAATTTCGTTCAGCAGTGTGCTAAGATCGACCACATGATCGTCCTGGATGTTTTACCAGTTAGAATATAGAAATCTAGTGCAGTTTGCCACTGAAATTGACTTAGGGGCATGTATCGTCATCTGCACTTCTTAGTTTCCTCAAACATTGCACGAGTTATCCGCAATTAATGAGCATGTCTAGGGAGACGATAACTCAGATTTTGGATTCCCGACATCTAAGAACACAGAATCCAGTGTTTGTCTTTTCAAGCGGGGTAAACATAGCAAAACATAACTAGAGGATTGATACCCCAGCTTATTTTATGTCCGAAGTACATTGTAGACTCTAGAAATATCAGTGTATTACGTAAGCTACAGATCTACCTGCGAATTTCATCCACTGTAAGCGATTTACGTGCGCGATAACTCGTTTCACTGGACACCGTATTTCCAATACGTTGTGTTAAATGGCTTAGCTAAGATGACCCAGGCAGATGATTTGCAGAAAGATTAATCACATGAAGACATTTTTCATTACGGAGGAATAGCAATATAAAAAACCTATTTTTCTGGAAATGGACTCCGTTTTTCGATTGCTGAGTGGCTAAAAACAGTTCTAATTTGCTAAAGCGTTGATTCTTCAGCCTATAACGATTACCTTTTATGAAAACCGCAACTCATATATTTTGCTATTAACCTTTCCTGAAACATAGTCTCGTTGTATTTTATTATTGATATGGACGTTTTTGACTACCCGCATAAAGCTAGCTATCTATCTATGGCCCAACTGTAACACCCTTCCGCTGCCTAGCTGCCATGCCACCCGAAGGGGGCACGAGGGCTGGGATACTGCCAGGTTGCCCAAGCCTAGACAGGGGAAGACGAGTGGCGGAGGTCGGATTCGAACCGCGGACCTTCAGGTTAGTAAATCCGCGCTCTAACCACTTCGGCCATCTCGCCCCCAGTAGTCGTTGCTGATGCATGAAGACTGAGATAGTAGAGTTTGGAAAAATCAAGCCATAGAAAATTTTTCACGGAGTTATCACAATAACCGATGACTGAAAGTGATGTAAGGATGCTGAAACCTCCGTTAAAAACCATGTATGTCTAAAACCAACCGAATCGTCAAAAACACAGGGGAAAGCCCCAAGAAAAAATCGGTTTCGTTTTGGGCTGATAATGATACACCATGGAAAAACTCGGCTGAGAACAGCGAGATGGTCAGTAAGAATAAGCGAGATCTAGACTAGCCAATTCTGCTTTTGGAATTACCAGATAAATTAGATGACAGTTTGATATAGTTAAAAAAAGGCACACGTGAGCGGTCGGCATTTGGCCAGAAGACTTCATAAAAACAAGCCTGCCTGAAGAGCAGGATCTGTGTGAAGTTTACTTTTTGCGGACGACTTGAAATCCTGGAGTTCCAATGCCAGTGCCCTCCAAATGGATGTAGACGCTGCCAAGCAGTGGTCGTTGGACTGCGAACCTTGATCGCCCTTCAGAAGAAGAAATGGCGTACAAAATAGCCGTACTGAAATATGAGAAGGCACCAGGACCGGACGGTCTGTATCCAGCCCTCTTCAAAGAAGGCTAAAATTCCCTGGTGACCCACCTGACAAAGCTTATTATTAATATGTGGGTCGAAGAGCAAATACCTGCAGAATGGGGTATGTCGACAGTTATCCCTATCTTCAAAAAGGGTACACGGACGCTATGCGAAAACAACCGTGGCATCAGCCTGTTAGCTGTGGCATTGAAGGTGCTCTCTGGTCTTATCCTTCGAAGGTTGACTGAATACAGGGAGAGACAGATCCGTGAAAACCGAGCTGGGTTCCGTCCTGCAAGAGGTTGCATCGATCATATCTTCACCCTCCGACAGATTCTGGAACAGCGACACTGCTTCCAGCCAGCAACAATGGTTGTTTTTCTTGATCTGAAAGCTGCCTTTGACTCTGTGGACCGCCAAGCACTATGGCAGTGTCTTTGGAGCAAAGTGTCCTCCATAAATTCTTGCCCCTCATTAGGCCTCTCCCGAGGCCGTGTAAAGGTCTACGGTAAGCTCTCTCCTGAGTTCACAACATCAAGTGGTGTCTTACAGGGTTGTCCTCTTTTACCTTTCCTCTTTAACTTCGTCATTGATACGATCATAGAAGACTCACTGCCAGCCTCTGATGCCTGTGGGGTCGAAGTGCTCCCTGGGCATCCGCACAAAGATATTGGGTGTATCAATCCGTGAATCCGTGAATCGGGATCAAAGCGCTTTCTCTCTTCGGAAACTGCGACGCCAAGCGGCGAAGTTAATCTGAAGTGGGAGGAAAGCAGATGGTCCGACTGTTAAACAAGCTTGGTAGTTAGGTAGACAATACACGGCGTCACATTGGATCCAGGTGAATTGTGGTTAAACGTCATGCAAAACGCCCTAAATGTGATAAATATTAGAGTTGTAATGTCAGGGAACCTCTAAATTTTGAAAAGCTCTTAACTGGATGTTGAAAGTGCCTTTATACAGGATTGGTCTACAATGGTGTTAGCGCTGTTCCTGAGCACAGAGCTACTTGGGTTCTTCGGTGAAGCACAGTTATGTGCAATGCCAATCAGCTTACGTTGCAAGCACACACTTTTGAGAGGCATGCAAATATGTTTAAGGCAGCCCTGGCTACGCTTAATTTACCATCGTTGATTGGGTTCAACCAAAAAGCCAGGAAAGGTGTAATTAATTACATGGCGCACCGCTGTGGAAACACCGAGGTCCGCAAGACTGATTCGCTACTCAAAAGATGAGGCGTCATGTATGGTTGGTCTGTAACAATCTGCACTTTGTGCATTCATGAAGGCAACGCTCCTACCAGTTTTGCATTTTTGGTTCATGCAGCCAATTATTTCACTTAGTTAAACAATGAGGGCTTGCGAGATCCTGTACCTTTTTGTGCAGAAAAGTTGGAAATATGATCGAATAAGGTCGGGTGCATCAAGGCTATGATGAATATGATTGTGGGTACCCCATAGAATGGAAGAATGGTTAGAAGATATGACCATTTCAGGGGGGCCGCATTTTTTTGTTGCACGAGAGTGGACTGTCAATTGAAGAGGAATTCGATGGAGAAAGCAAGCAGGTGGAAACAAGATTAGATAGCGTTCGATGTAGTGCAGTTAAGCTGATATCTAATTATGTGTGAATAAAATGTGACGGAACAAAGAGTTAAGATAGAAGAGAAGCACGAAGGGTTGTGCGGGGCCAAAGCTTATCACCATACCCCCGCACACAATCTCAACTCGCTTGACCACGGGAAAATCCGGGTGGGGACTGAATTGGGTTTCTGACGACAAAGAAATTATAACTGGCTTCTTGTGTCAAATGGCGAGATCAGAGGCTGCTTATGTGGAACTGGATCCAGTTAGTAGCTGTCTTCTGTGAAATCAACCTAGTGGAAAGAATGAGAAGGCCCAAGTTTGAAGGAAGGACCTGAGACTGAGGACACTGCTTACCATCATAAGTGGCCCTAAATAGGGATTTGTCAAGCTCACAGGTGTATCCACAAATCTTCCAGTAGCGCAGTGACTCACAAAGTGTGGGGATTCTCAGAAAGCAGAGCTGCTAACGAATTCCTCTGTAACGGCTCTGAAACTCCGTATGGGAATCCCCTGTTGCTCCATACCACCTAGTATAGTTGAATCGAAACGATAATGTAGCCCATGTGAGTTTACTGGGATGGGAGCATAGAGGATGACACATCGGAGAAAATTCATTCGTTAGAAGGTAGTGGCTATTTAACCCAAGCGGATGCGTCAGAACCCAATGAACGCCCGAAAGAGAAGTTGCATGCCCGAGAAGGCTAAACAACTGAGATAAATTTATTTGAGAGCACGGTTAACAAACCTCGCCAAGTTCCCGTTTTAAAAAGGTTTACAAAACAATCCATGGCCATTGACAGTTCACTTTAATGATCGTATTTGTCGTGGCAATAGCGAAAAACTATCTTTTTCATTGAAGCTGTGGCTACCAAATGCCCATGATTACTACAATCTGCAAGCCTACTGTTTTCTTCAAGATCTGACTTTGCCATGAAGCCGAAAGACTGACCACCCTAAAACACGCTCGTTCATCCTACTACAACCATGGAAATTCACGAAGCCCGTCAGCAAGCTGATTGTTTTACTGACTTGGAAACGCGACAAGCGGGAAATAGTTCGGTTTTTGAAGTTCGGTTCGGATCCTAACAATGGACTTGGGCGCATTGTCTCCCGGCCGGAATACCAGCATTTGTTACGAAATACCGGTTGATGAAGTGAAAGTACGCACGCCGCGAACTCCCCGAACTCCCAATTTGTTGAAATCTCCAAACCGAAGCGTTTTGTGTGAGATAGACCTTGCAGAGCGTCTGTCAAAAGCAGATGAAAGACGGTCGACAGCGTTAAAGGTAGCAGTTCGTTCCTGAAACTGAGTGAATTCCTTTATTGTTGTTTCCCCGATCCGGTTTAGTTGGGTGAAATCTTGTTTGCTTTCTTCAGGAAACCAGCACCAAAAATGAGGAGTATGTACGACGGGCTATGTCCAAATGCGAACAAGAGAGAGAGAAAACAATGAATCGCTCCCTGGAGCTTTTAGAAAACCTTCAGGAAGATATCGAAAAGAAAGCTCAGAGGAGGCAGCAAGTATTAGAGGAGCGAGTGAACGCAGCCAAAAAACAAGTGGGTGTGTTGTCTTAACGACTGTCCTGTCCAGCTTGAAAAGGTAGAACAAGTAACGGTGGCCCGTTCCTCTTCCAAAGAAGTCCTCATGCGCCAAATTGACGAAGACATGTCTAACAAGGAGAACAAAAGACGATCGATCATTCAAAGCATCAAGCAACACTGTCAGCATGAGGTTAGTCACTGCCATGCGCAGGTTGTCAGCTACGTTAATTTTCCGATTCTGTCAATGGACACCTCCGTCCCTTTTCGGTCTGTAGCCAGTTAACTCACCAATATAGCCCCTGATAATTCGTGTTAGAGAATAGAGTCCACAAAGATTTTGGTCGAAACCACTTGGTTCATTGTGATGGATCCTTTAAAAACAGTGGTCTTGAGCTCGGTGTTCACATGTGTACGATGAACGACAGCTGACAGGACTGGAAGGTGCTTATCATGCCTGAGCTCGGGCCGTGCTATTTGTTGCAGGGTGCTGTGATGATGCGTCCTGGTCGCGTTCCAGACTCTCGTCTCAAAGAGATCACACGTCAACTGGGATTGAGTCCGTTGTCTGACTTGTTTCCAGGTGCAAACAATAAAGACTGCGAGATGAAAGTCGCAATTTGAAGAATGCATCCCATACGTCTGCTGCCGTAGCGGCCGAGGTAACGGTGTGTATTGCATTGGACAGTAAAGGGCAAAGAACTGTCAATTATTAAAATTAGGTCTATGAAGATGTCGCTGGCAACTGAACAAGGGGAAAGAGCGAATGTCACAGAGGAAGAAGGGAGGTCGCAACGTAAGTGGATAAGGTGACCCGGATAGTGTCAGCGCGCGACGGCTGGTATGGTATGAGGTTATCCGTAAATTTGCGATATATGGTCTTACTTGGGCTAGAATATTGTCCTGGCGCGCAGGCCAAGACGGGAACGATTGGGGTCCTCAATCGAAGCCTTTGACTCAAAAGCCAAACCGCAAAGCAGGGGTGGTTGGCCTATGACTCACAGAAGCCTGCACGACGCACGTTCCAGCACCCAACCTAGAGGCCGAGGAGACTGCCAGACTAACCACTGAGGCTTCGTGCACTCTTGTGTAGGTCAGTGGGTCATCCGACCGAAAGTTGCTGCCTTGATATACTTGGGTGCTGCAATAATGCTGTGGGATACACTGGCTGGAACTCGGTTTCACGATTTCCACCCATGTCAGAAATGCTAAAGGGAAGCAGCTAGTCCCCGTACTATGAGTAATCGTGCTACGAGGCGTTCTGTACTATTCTATGAGTTACATGTATGAACGCAGGTAACCAGCACGTCCTTACTCTCTGCGACCTCGGATCAGGTCAACCCGCTGCAGCCTAGCAGAATATTGAGTCATCAGCTCCGGGAACGATCCCCAAAGAAAACCCTATTAGCCACAGCCTTGCGGGGTCATACTTTTGAGTCGGAGGCCAGGAGAAGGGTCCCCGAACAAAAGCCTACATCCTCCCAATGCCTTGTGGACCAGACTGCGTGAAAGCTCAAAGTGGGGTACCTCAACCAGACCTCTTTCCTCGGCCTGGGCAACGGGTAAGTATCGTTTGCCCGCACCGTTATTTGTACACCTCTTCCCACCACACAAAAAATATTGCTGGGTCATTTGACTGTCAGCTATCTGACCGATGAGCGTTATGCTCTGCGCTGCCTATTGACAATAAAATTACATCTTAAATTCACGAGATCATTTATACGCAGATCTTTTAACGTCCGTGCTCTGTCAAAGTGGCAAACAGGGAATGCTCACTGAAACCTCGTACTCTACAACTGATGTATGCTGTGTATCTGAATCACACCTACAGAACCCAAGTGTGGTTATGCTTTGCAAAACGCGAAGGTTAACTCAGCTCTTTCGCATTTCTCCCTCCGTGTGTCTGGTGATCCACAAGCGATGACTCGCGGAACATACGGCACAGCCCTCAGCTGAACTGCTTCGCTTGATTTGATCCTGATTGCAGCTCCCGCCTGCAATGCGCAGCTACCTACCCCGCCCCCCCAAATCATCGGTGAACGAAACTGCGGCAGCTACAACCACTGTACGACGAGTACGCGGTTTCTACAGCTGACGATGATGATGATCACAGGAAGCAGCTGTCGTTGCGCCCCCCGGTTATCCAGCTCAATGCCTCGACATGAAAAGCAGTGATTGTATTTAGTGTCGGGTTACGTCGCAACAGGCTACGCTGAGAAGGATACTTCCATTCGAGAAGTATCCGGGGTCATTCGTCAAGCAAGAATTACTGACACTATCATCCTTGTTAGCGATATGAATCTCCAAGTTGGTTGTCCGAGCTCCTTGGAATCACATTTGGGCCGTCGATTCGCAGTCGATACTGGTCGGTCGAGCAACGGAGAGCGACTCTTCCAGTTGTGTGCTGGTAATGGATTGTTTCTGGTCAGTGTGAACTTTCAGCATAATTGTTTGCATCGGGTAGCCCCGTGGCGACCAATTGCAAATCAGCCATGGACCCAGTTGGATCACGGCCGTCAGCTCCTAGGGCATTTCCTCAGATGCCCAGGTCGCAGACGATATGGCTGTTCTTGGGTCCAACAATGCCTTCGATGCACAACTCCCCTCATCTCCTCAATTAAAAGTTCACCGACAAAACTGGCAGCTACAACTACTGTACGATAAGTACGCGGTTCCTACAGCTGATAATGATGATGAGAAGTGTGTAGACGGAAAAATGACACGTACGCCTCCAAGCCATTTACATCGAGGGTTCTAGCTGAACATAGTCATTAATTTTTAGGTCCCATTCTAGGAGTCTACACGACTTGACAGAAGACAAGCGATGTGTATCTTCATGTTTCAGCGCTACTTAATTCTACCGCCTCGATGCTCCCTTTCACTCTGCTGTGCAAATAGCCTGCCGTGAAATTATTTGTGTTGTAGTCCTCAAAACACGTATTGACCGTCGGGGTAGATGGTTGATGGTCTACGTCATTTCATCTGCACAGCGTCCGTAGGAGACGCATCGTCACACCTGAGCATTACCCACTCACCGCTGCCACAAAACGCGAGATGCTTTGTAGGTAACTTTAATCCGATGAGATGGCCCAAGTGGTTAGAGCGCAGATTTACTGACCGGAAGGTCCGTGGTTCGAATCCGACCTCCGCCACTCGGCTTCCCCTGTCTAGGCTTGGGCAACCTGGCAGTATCCCAGCCCTCGTGCTTCCTTCGGGTAGCATGGCAGCTAGACACTGAAAGAGTGCTACAGCTGAATGCTTTCTTTAATCTGATGAGGCCGTATTTCACGTCCGTGTTTGTTGAATGAACCGACGCGTTACAGACTCGATCTTTCGAACACCAATTTCTGAGGACTGATTTAGATGGCGTTAGATCTCCTTCGGCAGGTACGTAGACTGGTCAGCCGTTTTTAGTTCGTCATCAGCATTGAAGAGCGTGGTTGCGGTTACAGACCGGTTTACCCTCTGTGTGATAATCGTGTGTTCTATACTTGTTGTATTCCATCATCGGCTGAGGACAAGTGCGTGCTTTAGTTACCGAATCCTGCTGTCCACGCAAAACTCCACGCCACCATCCGTACTCCTGGACTGTGCGCTAAAAAGAATGCCATTTGCAGGCAGGCAGAGGCAGTACATCAATAGTGACACAAGCTTCATTGCCGCACAACCACGAAGTTTATTCGGTTTTATTTGAAGCCTTAAATTAAAGAGAAGGAAATGGTGGATGTAAGAAGGGCCTGTTGCTGGCTTGTTCCAAGCGTTCGAAGGTGTCTACACCTTAAGGCGTTCAGACAAGCAATTTGGAAAAAACACATCGGTTAGCTGCAATGTCTCCAGCCAATTACCACCAAAGACCCCACCTTTGAAGGTATACCCCATCAACAATACCCAAACTCTTCGAAATCTCCGTCAATCCCTTCTACCAAACTATACGTTTGCGTCATTTCGGAGGCACGGAAAACAATACATCTCGGTAGACGGTAATTTGGAATGCGTAACACGTGGCCGAGCCACCGTATTTGGTGCTGGATATTTTCCGCGACTGAATTTTCTGCTACACAACCAAATACCTATTTCTAATTGCCTCGTCAGAAATTCGTTGACACCATCCGACTGCAACAAGGCGTCTGACTCAAGTGTTCCAGAACTTGAAGACGACTCGAACCATGTGCCCACAATAGCCCAGTGATATACCGTTTTAATGCCACAAATTAGCAAACGTAATTCGGGCCTCCGAAATTCGTTCATTGACTTCCGTCGAAGCCAATACAACTACGGCATATGTAGCATTCCTCTCAACTTCCAACGCTTCCTGAATTGCAGCTGGCATGTTCGAAAGCATTTTGAACGCGCAGTAATCTTGTTGATGTGGTCAGTCCACCCAATAGTGCTTGTCTTTCGTGTTCGTTCTCAAAGATGGGGATTATGTCATCCACGTACTTCAGGCGACAGGATCCTCAGTTCAGTTCACCTCACAAACCGTTCCTCGAGATGCAGTGCTTCCAGTTGCTGCAGCTTTCAGTGGTGATAAGAAAAATAGAGGAATGAGAGCCACGCATTGAAGGCTCAATTAGTCCATTCCTGTCGAATTGCTAGGTTTGTCCAGTATGACGAATTGAAAGTTGCGCAGTCGCGGTCGCCATCCGAGAAGATGGCATTCATCAGTGCGACTGAGTTGGCTGGTATGGACTTTCACGCTTCGTTGCCGGGTCATGGGCTGAACTTTCCCGGATTGTCTCCATCTGACAAGTTTAGTTTTTACTAGGGGACGGTTCTAGGGCATTCAAGTAGCGTGTGAAGCTCGACCAACTGGTCTGTTGACTAGGTCCTCAACAGTAACGATTTGAACATCAGATTTTCGAATATCTCTTAGGGTTTGCCTTGTAATTCCATCTATGACGAAATTGAACAAGACTAGAGAGAACGGATATCCTGGCTGGACGTCACTTGTAGAGAAGCTTTTAGAGCGCTCGTCATACACTCACACCCAGTGGTACGTGATTCATCATCATCATCGACCCCATGACATCAGTGTTCAACACCGATGCTTCCTTGGTAAGTAATTACAGAGAGAATTATTTTAGAAAATTTCTCGAACATCTTATGTTGGGCAGCTATGGTTAAGGGGACCGATCGGTTATTGTCATCATCACCGTCGTCATGTTATCGGTGTTCAACAATGGTGATTCCGTACAACCCTGATTTATTTGAAAGCTTTATTTTGAAGAAAACAAAGCTGGACGGGAAGCGTCTTACTGCTTACCTACCACAATCGTTCCGAAGTGCCTACACCTCCAGATACTCATTCAACTGGATAGAAACTGACAACTGGAACGTCGCTAAAGTCGACTAGCAGCTATAACTCGCCGTTTCCAACCAGGTGCAGTGAGCGATATTCACATCGCCGCACACACCTTGTTTAATGAGATACTTTATTGATACGATTTTACTAGCCAATATGTGTTTGAAGGCGATTACAACAGACGATTTGGGGGGGGGGCGAAAGTTGACTGCTGGTAACCCATTTATGTCCAGTCTTTAATTTACATGAGTTGTGCTGCTGGATCTACAAGCGCTTACGAGAGGGACTAGAGAGGTAATTAAAAAAAAACGACAGTTGGTTCTTTTACCCTGATAACATCAGTGCCAATGCTGACATTGTTATGCTGATAGTGACGGCTATCTGCATTCTTTTTTCCACATACTTTCGTTTCTTTTTTTTCAGACAGAAAAAGTGGACCGAGTCAGATCTCGTCGTTCGATGAACAGTAGTAACAGCAACTGAATTACTGGGTGACCATTTAGAGCTACTTTAATGAACACTAACCAGTCGCTCTGCGTGACACTATACCATCCCTTTTCACTTGTCACAAATTCGTACACCCGTTTCCTTGATACAAGTGGAGCATTTTCTCCAATTTTCTTGTAACAAACATGTTCTTGTTCTACTCACTGCTGCTGATGATTGTAAGAAAAAAGTGTTTCCATGTCACAGTTGACTTCACTCTACGAACTCCACTCTCCTGGTTTAATTCGGCTGATATATGATGCCCATGGATCAGAGCATTATTGGCAAAACACTCCGCCACGAGGGTACATCTGTTTCCATCAGTGAGCAAATTTATTGAACAGGTGGTGTCTTAGGCAATTATTTCACAGCATATGAGCCCATGGATCAGAGCATTATTGGCAAAACACTCCGCCACGAGGGTACATCTGTTTCCATCAGTGAGCAAATTTATTGAACAGGTGGTGTCTTAGGCAATTATTTCACAGCATATGAGACATCTCGCCGTTGTCGTCCGATGCGAGCAATGAACTAAAATGAATATAAAAACAGTCGGCTGTTGTTGCCGTTCGTAGTACATCACCTTGTTGTTGCGAGTCGAGTAGTTCCAGGACGGGATTAGAAAGGAGACAGAATAGGAAGACGTAATGTACGCTTTAATCGTCTAATAACTGTAGTACATGAGCTGAAAATAGAGTGAGAATCACGAGTTAATGGGTTATGCAAATGTATGGGTTATATAGTCATGACAGTACACCCCAACGCGCGATCCACCCAGTGAACAGCGTTTTGGCCACTGTCCAGTCATCCAGCTTTGGAAATGGAATAGCCTCGCACCACTTGGTGAAATGATCGACCATCACCATGATGTACATGTTGCCTCGGTCCGTTCTAGGCAACGGCCCGATGATATCCACACCAACCCCGCCTTTATAGTTTGCAGTGGTGCCGGGGCACTTGGTCTTCGGTCCTTTACTTGGCCACACTCTGTGCACGATTGACAGAACAGCGCAACATCACGCCGCATATGTGTCCACCAAAATCTGCGACGTGCTGACTCTTCCAGTTTGTTCTGTCCGGCATGGCCTAATTCTTAATGAAGTCGCTTCAAGACTGTTTCAACTGCGCTGCTTGGTACCACAATACGACGCAAGTAAGTAGGGCCTTTTTGGTAGTAAAGGACACCATCCGTCACACGCAGCTGAGACCAAAGGGCCCAAAGACAACGCGTCGGGTAGCTCGAACCCGCGACTTC